ACTGTTGTAAGTGATGGACAGTAATTAAGAATCCATTTACTCAAGTAGTACAAATTAGAAGAAATTGTACTTGAGTGGTTTCTTTTCATGTCACTTTCTACTTCTACACCTCAGTGGGAGATATTGTACTTTTTACTTCATTATATATACTAGTTACTTTACAAATTAAGATTTTTACACACAAAGCTTATGAAGACTTAAAATAATAGGTTTGTTATAAATTAAACTACCCAACATGTCCTTGTAACTGTAAATTTGATGAAAATGAACTAAAATGCAATTACATTTTTTTAAATATACCAGACGAATATGTCCATATTTTGACAATATTTACTGTTCAAATGTTGGCTTTTATTGGGAATTATCTTTAATGCATTAGTAATGATAATAATTTACTACATAACAGTATAACAGTCACAGGACATTTTCCTTTCTGCAATGAAAACTTTTCCTTTTAATACTTGAAATACATTTTCCTGATTATATTATTACTTTACATTATAATACTTTTTTTCAGTGCAGGGCTAGTAATTAAGTAAAGGATCTGAATACTTTGTCCACCACTGTCTGCCATACTCGTTGTTTAATTTGGAGGATTGTTGGTCTTGTCATACTCATCACTCAAATTCCAGTCATTCTCGATCAGTATTGAACTACTGTCAGTGAAATCCAGCAGCTCTGGCAGATTCCTAACATTACTGTTATATCTAGTCCACCTTTCACTTTATTCGTAGGCTTCTCAAGTGAAAAGTGTGCAGGAAGTGTTGAGTGTTATTAGGGTTAGTGGCAGAAGAAAGACTGGAATTTACTGTTGAATGAAACTATTTTTTTCAGTTAAAAAGAAAAGCTTAGAGTAGCGTTTAGTGTTTAGAGTTTAGTGAATTTGACATCAGTATGTTGCTGTGGCATATGAGCTGTTATAGTATGTTGTAGCATACTGTGCCTGGAGGGTGTGCTATATGTTGTCCAAAAAGTCATTGTGCTTTTTAATACCACCGCCTTGTTTAACAGGTTTACAGGTGTCTTTGTTTGCATAACTGATAGCAAAAACCCTGCTTTGGGTTCTTCAGTATTCATTGCCTGTCTATGCAAATATCAATCCCTTGTCTCATCTGTATATTTGGAAACCTTTCATATTTGTTTATCTTTACCAGAACGGGCTCTGTCAGAAGAGGATGCTGACCTTTCAGATCCACCCCAGTGACCCAACAGCAGAAGCAACCAGTGTGGAAAGATTCCTGACAGACAATATTCTGTCAGACACATGGGTAATGTATAAGCTGCAGAGAGCGAACGACCTGTGCAGCGAGACAGTGACAGAGGAAGAATGTTAACCTGATGTTTGGCCTCATTCTCACTCTCTCTGTCATATCCCATTGAGTTAGCTTTTAAATACACCACAGGAATCGTTTTAATGTCACAACAGTCTGAGCTGTAGGTGTACTTGTGCAAAACACACATACAGATGTTGGTTTAGCATACTTTTGGGAATATTATACTCACTTAGTTAATTCCCTGTGGGTTTGCCCTAAACTTGGTATGCCCAATTAAGAGAGAATCCAGTCTAGATCATTCTGAATCCACCTACACTGAAACAATGTTTTTATCCCTTATGAGAAAAATGGTGGTTTAATCGTTACAGTTCTCATTGTTTTATCACTTTATCATTAATACTGGTTCACAAATTTGTTGTGATTAATTAATCTTATTTTCCCTAAATGCTGCTTTCTTGTCTAATTGCGTGTATGCCACTTCAACTTCTGTGTGTACGGCACTAGAGCCAAAATGCAATTAGCTTAGCGTATAGGAAGAAGGGGTAAACAACTAACCTGTCTCCTAAATTCAAAAATCTTCCGTCCAACACCTCTGAAGCTCACTAGTTACTTTGAGAAGGAGTCCATCTGTTGTTGGCTAGAAAATACAGCAACAACAGTCATTTCTACATTTCTGTTTGTGTATGTGTTAAACAAATAAGATCAAGGATAATTAGTGAGCTCCATATTTAAAGTAAAGATATTAGAGTCGTATTGATCTTCTCATAACTTTATTAATATTAATAATATTGTTTTTGCAGTTTTGTGAAGCGTGTTGTTGTTCAGTGATTTTACTTGAATGTCCCCAAAAGCATATTTGAAGTAGGCTAATTCATGTATCTCAAATTGTGCTTCTCCCAGTGCAGCTAACTGGTTAAACTAAAACTTAACACTCAAGGAAAATATGAGAACAATATGGAATTGTGAGTAGTACAACATGATTATACATGCAACATTACTAGGGTGAAGCTGACAGTTTACACATTTTAATTATTTGAGGGTTTCAGACCAAAGGAACTTTAAGATTGATGAAGACATAAAGTGACATCAATATTCCCTGACTTTGCCAGGCACTGCAGCTGTTCAGGTGTTTTCGATGTGTTGTCAGACTGGAGTTCAAGCTGTTTCTTCTTTCACCAGAATTTGTCTCTGTGGGTTAGTAAGGCAGGTTTGGCAACATAGGCTGAAACAGCAGCTGCACATCAGCCTCCATATGCCACCACTTCCTACCATTCCTCCAAGTTATTAAGTAAAACAGAGGAATTTGAGGTGTGTTATGATGATTTATTCTTTTTTTCCCTTCATACTGTATGTTGTTCATTAAGTCCAATGTGGCTTATCAATAAAAAGAAAAGAAGAAAAGAATAGCGGGGGGTGGCATTTCCAATGGCAACGGCTGACTGACAATCAAAGGTCTGTGTTGTGAATAGTAAAGGTAGTGGCTGTCCCCTGTTCAGCTAATTAACTTTTTATATAACAGCCAGTCAGGTGATTAAACAAAATGCCTGTGCAGAGGCAGCACACAGTTTATGCTCTGCCTGAAAAGAGAGACAAGGATTTTATTGTTTAGTAGTTTGGGGTCTTTTTGAGAGTTCTGTGAGAGATTAATGGACTTTGTTCTTGCATACATGATGAATGCAGCTAAATTCCACTGACTCATCTGTGAAATTAAAGCCAGGTCTATGTGCTTTCTTATTAATGACCCACAGCAATCGCAGTCTAATTAGCTATCCCAGACAAGATCTTAAAGCCAACATAAAAGCTGGTGTTGCCAGCAAATGCGCGGTAAACATCCAATCAGTTCCTATATATCTGAAACTGCTGCTCTTTCCTGTGGTGTGCCTCAAGGTTCTGTCTTGGGCCCTATTTTATTTTCTTTGTATATCCTCCCCTTAGTTCACACCATTAAAATAATTCATTTTAAGGTATCTCTTATCACTGTTACACTGATGATATTGTGTGTTCAGCTTGCATGTCTCTTTTAAGCCTGATGAAACTGATGAACTGACTACTCTGCACAACTGCCTGACTGCCATTAAGGACTGGATGACTAATAGCTTTTTAGAGCTTAACAAAGCTAAGACTGAGGTCTTTATTGTTGCTTCTGATAGCATAACTTCCAAGGTTGCTCAGTGTATGTCTCTATATCGCTGTATGTCTTCAGCTATATAGTATAATCTTAGAAATCTTGGTGTTGATCAATCTATGTACTTCATATCAGATTATTGACCCATACATGTTTCTTCCATTTAAGAAACATTCTCAAACTCAGACCTGTCATATCACAACCTCAGCAAGAGATAATAATTCATGCTTCTTTATCATCCCGGTAAGATTACTGCAATTCCCTTTCACCTGCCTTAGCAAGTTGTCTCGGGACTGTTTACAAATGGTAAAGAATGCTGCTACAAGGCTGTTGACCACAAAGCGAGTTCAACATACGCAGGATATGTTTTCGTTATCCAGCTTAACTGACCCTAACAATCGCGATTGGGATAAGCGGTACCACGAAGCTGGTTATCAACTCGGTAAGTCAACCCAGGGTTTCCCAATTCAGCCAGGAGCACGTTCACATAAAAGAGGCAGTGTTAGCAGCAGATGACCATTCACAGACATGAACAAGTCCACTGTCAGCAGAGCGTCATATTTTATGAACGAGGATTAAACTGTAACACTACAGAAATACGACAGTAACACGCCTGCATCTGACACGTGCAAGGAGACAGAAAATCGCAGACAGTGTGAATGCCTAAATAAACAGGCATAGTATTTTATATTGCGTTGATTTAAAGTGGGCTTATGAGCTGAAAATATCAGCCTTATTCTTTAAACTCGGCTGTGTGTCGACGTTTCCACATTAAAAGACTCGGGCGCTGAATAAGTGGTCCTTCCACCTCACTCTAAATTAACTTCATAAAGCAATGAAACGAAAACTCCATTCATGCCATAAAATGTGCTCAAAAAATAAAACCCATTTATTTGAACGGCTGCGTCAGGCTGTGTGAAACGGACTTGGAGCAAATAAAAAATATTAAACACATTTCAAAGCAGCAAGTAGGCTTATCCTGCTGTACTGTAAAATCCTGTAGGCAACAAAAGCTTAAGTCTTTTAATCAGTCTCTGTAGAATTATATCGCTATAGTCAAGAGTTTCTCCACATCACCGCTGAAAAACATAAAGCAGCCTATTGGCTAAAACAGTCTGTGGGATTTCCTACAGATGGTGATGCCATTTTCCAAGAGAGCTGATTGGTCAGTAGGCGGCGTTTTCACAGAGTTGATCTCTTATCTGGAACATAACCTGCTCCAGAGCAGGTTAGCTGTTCAGCATAAGTTACCATGGCCCGGTAAGAAGTGAACCACCTTTGTGGTACTGAAAACCCAGGATTAACCCCGAAGTTACCTGGATAAGCTCAAATCCTGCTTCGTGGTACAGGCCTCGGGTCTAGTAGCACAACTCACATCACACCCATCCTGTCCTCTTTGCATTGGCTTCCTGTCAGGTTCAGGATTCATTTTAAGGTTCTTCTTTTCACATGATCACAGTCTTGAGTTTTATTGTGGTGTTTTTCTGTTATTTTGTTATGTCCATTCCTGTGTTGCTTTTTGCCTCTGTGTTCTTGTTTAGGTTTGGTTAGTTGATCATTGGTTCCTTGTTTTCTGTTGTATTTGGTTTCATATGTCCTTGTATATTGTCGCTAGCTTTACTTCCTGTTTTATTTTGTAGTGATTAGTTTCATGTGTTTTTGTCTAGCTTTGTTTCCTGTCTGATTGATTGCTTATGTGTCTCACCTGTGTTAATTGTCCTGCCTTCTTGTGTGTGTGTGAATATATTGCCCTCATTTCTGTTCAGTCCTTGTGGTGTCATCATCTTATGTTGGGTGTTCTGCTGCATGCTCTGTTTACCAGGATTTTTTTGGATTATTCCCTTGTGTTGGATTCCCTTGCCTTTTTGTTGGATTTAACCTGTGTTTGGACTTTGTACTCTGCCTTGTTGGAATTATCCTTTTGTTTGGACTCTTGCCTTGAGATAAGTAGTAAGCCTGTTTTGTTTGGTCAAAATAAATCTTCATTTGAAATGCAACCTCTTGGCCCGTGTCTGCATTTTGGATCCACACTCCTGTTTCCCTGTCACTCAGCCTACGTGATACACATATTGAGCTCTGCATGGTCAGGTGCCTGGGTACAGCTCCACCCTCATATGACCACTAGGTAAGTTTTCTGACCACGGCTTACTGATCGTTCCTCAAGCTGGATTAAAAACAAAAGGTGATCGTGCATTTGAAGTGGTGGCTCCCACACTCTGGAGTGCTCTTCCTATGAAGATGTATGTTCTGTGGTCTCTGACACCTTTTTTAAAAAGCAGCTAGACTTTTTTTCAAAATTATTTGTGCTTTTGTGTTTTTTAAGGTCTGTTTTGGTGTTCATGTTTTATTTATTTTTTACAGGTTTACAATGTTGCTTATGTATTTTTGTTTCATTCCTCTTTTGACGGTCTAATTTCTAATGTTTTACTCTTGTTAATAACCTTGTGACCTTGCTCCTGCAGTTTTTCAGCAACTCAATGCATTGAGGAATGTAGACGTTGGCAAGAAAACTTGCTGAAGTTCAAACCGAGCATCAGAATATGGAAGAAAAGATATTTTAAGTGACTTTGAACTTGGCATAGTAGTTGTTGCCAGGTGGGCTGGTCTGAGTATTTCAGAAACCGCTGACCTACTGGGATTTTCATGTACAACCATCTCTAGGGTTTACAGAGAATGGTCCGAAAAAGAGAGATTATCCAGTGCGTGGTAGTTGTGTGGACAAAAATGCCTTGTTGAGGTCAGAGGAGACTGAGCAGACTGGTTCAAGATGACATACCGGCAACAGTAACTCAAATAACCACTCATTACAATCACAATATGCAAAATACCATCTCTGAATGCACAACACGTTGAACCTAGAAGCAGATGGGCTACAGCAGCAGAAGACCACACCAGGTGCCACTCCTGTCAGCTAAGAACAGGAAACTGAGTCTACAATTCGGACAGGCTGAGCAAAATTGGACAATAGAAGACTGGGAAAAAACGTTGTCTGAGTCCCGATTTTTCAGCTGTGACATTCAGAATTTGGCGTAAACATGAAGGCATGGGTCCATCCTGCTTTGTATCAGCAGTTCAGGCGGTGGTGGTGGAGTTATGGTGTGTGGGATATTTTCTTGGCACACTTAGTACCAACTGTTTAAATGTGACACCTGAATTGAATAGTGTTTCTTACCATGTCCATCCCTTATTACCACTGTTTAACCATCTTCTGATGGCTACTTCCAGCAGAATAATGCACCATGGGAGATGTGCAGCCATCAAATCTGCAGCAACTGCGTGATGCTATCATGTCAATATGGACCAAAGTCTCTGAGGAATGTTTCCAACATTGCAACTTTGTTTCTGGAAACTCTCTTCTGCTTCTGTCTTTCTGCCCTTCTGCCTTCACCTTAATCCTCCACCCTGACGTATGGCCCCATGTTCATTAAAAATCACAGGATTGCTGAATAATGCACTGTTGACCGTTTAATTGCTGTAGTGGCTCATCTGATAAGGAGACAGTGATTTGGATTATAGGTTAAACTCATTTCCAGTGAGTTAGCTTAAAGAAAATGGATTGGATTTGAATAATAAAATTGACATAGCCTCAATTTAGATATCAATTGTTTAATTTCATTCTAATTAATTCCCCCCCCAATGAAATGTACATTCTTCAGCAAGGACTTGGCGTCAGTTAATTGATTTCAGCACCCTGCCAAACAACCACATCCTAAATTGTTGTGCTTAATTAAAACATGCACAATCTCTCCACAGAGCACGTCTTTGTGATGAATGAACGAAACCCTCGCTTGTGCAAATATGTTCTTGATACTGAATAAGCAGTGTGTGTTTATCTGCATGTTTGTGTATGTGTTTAATGAATAAAATAACCAGTTCTCTTTGAATATGAGGAAATACTCATGATATTCATACTCAAATAACATATATATCAAATAACCGAACGAGGAAGACATTTTGGGGGGATTTGGTTGTTTATTAAGGCATCGTCAAGTTCCATTACATTTTCCAAGCAGCTATACCCAATGAATAAGTATCCCATTTTCTGTCTGCCCTGCATTATTTTTGCAGTAATCATTGCAATTCTTTAACACCGCACCACAAAACTCCTCACTCTTAGACAAAATGCTTCTGATTGATGTGGGAAATTAGAGTGAGGAAGGAAGCAGACCTGCACATATCAATCAAAATCAGGACGGGATTCACTCAGGTAATGACTAAAAGGATCGAGAGAGCTGAAAAATGCATGTTCTGGATGATTTTATTTTATATTTTTTTCACATTTACAGTTATAAAAGTATGTTGTGTTTTTTTTTATATATAACATAGAAAAGAAACAAATCTAAGAAACGAACAAATATGAAATATTGTTAGATGTTATCGTACAAAAGAATTAGATAAAAGAACGAGCGTGTAGTTAATCCCTGACTATTCCCTCCTTGCCCAACCACATTGTCTTAGTTTAAAAAAGAGACACTGTTCTTGCTAAAGGTTGTCACTCTAAGTTTAAAGAAAACTTAAAAGCATAACAATAAAGTTTTTTTTTTTTTTTTTTTTAAATTCAGCATTAGTTATGTTCTACTTTTGCTCTAGGTATGCAGCAGATAAATGCTATGTAACTCTCCCGGGAGCACACTGTCACTACGAGAAACTCAAATCTCTGTTTGGACACCTGGAGGTCGGAAGATTTAAGCAGAATAATATGATGATATAGTTGATGCTACTGAGTAGTGCTAAGACCAAATACACAACTCCCTTCCTGAATACCAAAACCACAGTCTATGAATAACAAAACAGTACCCAGCCTCCCACCACCTTCCTCACTGGTGTAGAAAAATAAACTCAAATCTTTGGTTTGACGGTTCAATTCTTAGTCTGGCTGTGACTGCCAGTTGTAGGATATCAGACAGCGCTGTTCAAATTTAACTTCTTATTGCCTTTCTAATACCACAACAGCAGGTTATTGTTGACATGTATAATGCTATTGTTCACCATGGCTTCTGAATTTTGTTGCACTTTTGTTTTGCTTCAGCAGAAGTCACATTCTGGTTTCTTCTCTTTAGCTGATCTGATTATATGCTAATGTGTTTGTTTTGCTTGTCTTAAACAGCTTTTTGTGGCTCCTATTCATACACACACAAAAAATAAAAAATGAAACCAAGTTATGACATATTATTTTTTAACAATCTTCATTGACTGCAAAACATATTCATTAGTAAAATCTTCATTTGATTCCTGTTTGGCAACATACATAAATGGCTGGTTAATTTTGGCTGTTGCAGTGTAGTTCAGATAGATTACCTTCAGTGATCCCTCTATTTCAATGCAATAAACACAATGCATAATCTAAGATGAGTTCATTTGTAGTGGCTGACAACAGACTTTTACAAAATCCTTTGTAATTTCCATCCACAAATGTCACTTTCAGACAGTCTTATTTACAAAAATCCACATTATGGGATGTCTATCAAGAGCCAATAAGTGTCAGGGAGTTCATGACTTTGGTCTTGGGTGTCTTTTCAGTTCTGTCGGCGTTCTGGGAAGTTGGTCATTTGGATGTCGTCCCCTTGGAGTGCTGGGTTGTAATAGGCCAAACCACCAAAGGTCAAGTCCAAAGGTCCACTGTTGTCTAATCTGAGAACTAGAAATTAGACAAATTAACATTAAACATTTAACTCTTAATTTTAAAAGCTTCATTATGAACTTGTAATTTGCAGACAAGTAGCCTGTACTTTCCCCTGTTGAAGGGATGGTAAGTGACTGTCTCTATCTAATAAAATCTAAATCTAAAATACTTTTTTTAAATTCTGCAAATATTTCCTCACAGTTTTCCTAAACAGCCCTGGCTCTGTAAATGGAAAACAAAGAAAGAGGGCTGAACCTTGCCACACAACATTGTTCCAGCTAATCAGCAACAAGTGCTTGTGCGCAAGATTGATGGGGGGCAGTGGGAGAGTTTTGTGCATTGGCACATTCAAATGTGCGGGACTCCAGGAAGAAAGAAGAAATGGTCTAAACATAGAGTATAAACATAGAATGGCTTAAATGAACACATTTCTCCCTTTAATTTTCCCATTAAAGGGTATGAAGGTGAATGAGATGAGAACAGAAGGTGTTGTTTACAGATAAATGTAAAGCCCATGGCAAATTTGTAATTTTGGGCTATAAATAAAACTGAGTTGTATGTGTACTGTAGGTTGTATAGTATAGTATGTATTGGCCTTTGGTAATGCAGGTTGGTTAAAGTAAAACTGAGATCACAACTTGTCATTCCAGCACTCAAAAATAAAAGTGTAAAAGTGATTTTTAAAATTAATATATTTTTAATCACTAAAAGGAAAAAACAGGGCTTTTTACAGGTCAAGGACAGTGTTACTGAATGAAAGTTTATCATTACTTTTTGAGCATGAGGCGTGTGACCGTGTGTTTTACATACTGTGACTGTGTATTATTTTCACGTTGCTTTGCCACCATGAAGGTGCACTGCAAAGTTAATGTGTTGAGCGATGTGTTTTTTTTTTTTTTTTTATCTAAGTCCGTCTACATTGTAAAAAAGTTACCTTGTATACTTCGAGTTGTTTACCACAATAGACCTTGCTCCATTTTGTTTTTGAGGATTGCTTCCGGTCTTTGAGTAGTGGTGGGCCATGTCTTTCATTGACTAATTCATATGAAAGGCATTCTGTTGTCCCTCTAGTGTTTGAGAACGTATGTCTGAAATAGGCCTTAGGGCCTATAATTTAGGATGTAATCTGACTCATCTTAAATATGCAGGCACACCTGTATGCTGCAGCAGAAAAAGAAACATGCAGCTTAATTTCAGTTGGACCGTAACAGAAAGATAAAGTAAGAATGAGGGCGTGTAGGGGAGTGTGAGAATAAAATGCTGTCGTCCTCTAAGTTCATGGCAAGAATGAGACAAATTGCAAACTGTCATAGTACATGATCCTATTTTGCATGGTAAGGTTACCTTATTAAAGCAGGATGGAGTTAGGAGCTTCTGTGTGTGGGTGTGAGTGGGAGAGAGAGAGAGAGATAGACAGCAACCAAGGGTTTAAAGTCTCATGTGAAATTTAGGGGGAGATCTAAAATATTGTATTATAAATATAACAAACAGTATATGTGTATTTTTGGTGCCACTGTTTGTTTGTTTTAGTTTTTTTTGTGCATACATTATTATTTTACTTTAAATAATATAATATTATATGATGTATAATTACATTCCTAAAATAAATAGTTTTGTGTCTAATAAACAGCACATTCTCAACATTTGAGGCTGTGGATGTAGCCTGCCTAGTCCTGATTCGAACCGGCAACCTTGGGTATGGGAGGCTAAAACCCATGGGTACTAATGTCTGTCGCCAGTGCATCTCTTAAGGAATCGTGAAGTGAGGTTTACACACTGTAGAGCCTCACTGACTTCTGTTACTCTCACCCTCCTATACCTCACTCCCATCCATGTGACAGCATCAATGTCCCCCGAGGTTGTTCTGCATGTCCTGACTCGGGTACGGGAGGCGGCCGTGCTAATGAGGAGGCTAAAACCCATGGGCACTAGTTGTCGGGGAGTGAGGTTTACTCACTGCACGGCCTCACTGGCCTGTTACATGTACAATTGTCATGGGATGCAACCTAAGTCTGATCTGTTTAACAAAGTAAAATAAATCATTCCCTGCCCACTATGCCTTGGCATTTTTATTGTTTCTCAGCAAAGAGCAATTAAAAAAACATTTCTTCTGTTTCTTTCTTGTCCCAGGCTAAATATTCTCTGTATGAATTGAAATTTATTGATATTATATTTTTGCATGTATTATACTTATTCATGTGTGCATGTGTTCAGTCCTCTCCCCACCCAACCCCCGAAAAATAGGAGCCTCAGAAAGACATGGTGTAATTCGAATACTGAGCAGATCAATACCAGTCTCATGTCTGTATGTTAAATATGTAGCTACAGCCAGCAGCCAGTTTAGCTTAGCATGAAGATTGGAGGTAACAAAATTCTCCAACCAGCAGTTAGGCTATAACATTACAGCATGTTTGTTTGATCCATTTTGAAGGTGGACGTTATGTATCAGACTATTTCCCAAAAATGCTGAACTAGTGGAAAGTGTGAGTGACTGTTCATCATTGTGTAGCAATACTAATATGCATCATACTGTATTTAGCAGTTTCATTTTAGCATTTGCTGTATGACTCCCACCTACCAGAGGTTGTTTTTTTTGTTTTTTTAATAATAGAAATCTTTGTCATTTCAAGGTGGCAACCCTAATTAAATCCTGATCAAGCCATCACAGATAACAGCAATAATTATGTGTGTCCTAGGATGAAATTTCAAACAAAGTTCAGCATTTACTGTATAAAGGAAGGATAGGATCTAGCATACCTGGGTCTGCAGGATATTCTTCAACCAGTTTCCTGTGAGAGAAACCCTTCTGCTGTTTCTTTTTCAGGATTATGTAGGCCACCAGTCCCACTGCTGTCACAGCCACCGCTGTTCCCAGTATAGCCCCCCACGCTCCCTGTCTTTTACTGTTGTTGTAATCTGCTGCCAAACCTTTATTGGAAGAATGAGGGGTTAAGGGGTGGGAGAGAGTAATAAATAATTTGTCAACAACAAAATAGTTTATATCAACTTCCATCTTTGAGAGTTAATTATCAGATAATTATAGCTGAAATGTGTTTTTGAAATTGTGTTTCCAGTGGCAGCACTCTGCATAGATACACATCCCAATTAGTCAGCTGTACATATTTGTCTTATTTACGGTGTGATAGTGCAATTAACGTGCCAAAATCATTACAATTTTTTTAATACATTTGAATACATTTTAAGGCACCAGGCTGTGCTCAACATTTAGCTGAGGTAAAATGTGATTGAATGTTGCTTTAGTTTCCATTATATAGTATGTCTGTTAACTTTAACTTAAACTTGTTTAACACTGTTAACTAAGCACTGACAGTCTGAATCACATAACCGATTTAATTTCTTAATGGAAATGTAAATTTCGCACAGAGATAATCATCACATGCTCTCGCATTATGACAGCTATACAGGTGCAAAAAACATTGAGTATGAGGCTGCATCCATGCAGTTAAAGATATTAGTGACCAACTGGCACGAGCTTCTATTAACAAGACTACCTATTCTTACCTTTTGTATTCTAACAATCAGTGTTTTAATGTGTAACCGTGAAAACTTGAAACCTTAGAATCAAAGTTTTTACTTTCCTAAATTTTAATTGTTGAAGTCACTTAAAGAACTTTTTCTACTCTTTTTATTTTACAGTTTGTGTGTGTGGCAACAGCAGAGGTGGGAAAGACAGTGTGTGAAAGTGTCTTTTACATAGTAATACTACATTTGTATTTTATCAGGACTGTTGCATAAATAACTCAATGGCTCCGTTTATCTACAAAGGGCTCAATTTACCAACTGTGACACCCTGTGTGGGCGTGGCCAATCTCTATCCCTTGAAGGTGAAGAGCTGAGACTGATTGCAGTAACTCTGGGCACCTGGGCAAAATACCCTGTAGAGTATTTGTAACGCCTTATTCTGATTCTTAGTGATGATGCTAGTGGGCTGAGGTGACAGACCTCCCTGCTAAATTACTACCCTCTGTTTCCCTCCACAGGTTTCACCTTTGCCTTGGTTTCTGGACATGCTGTTTTAGTTGTAGTTATTGTTTCTTGCACATTACAACACCCTTACACACACATTTCCTCTAGTATTACCATGAGGTTAACGTTTGACATACATACAAACCATTCCAAAATGCATTGCGTCTCTTCAGACTGTGCAATGGTGATCATATGATGCAGTCACATGACTGTCTTGCTTGAGTATACTTCTGGCAATGACATATTTAATCATTCATTAAGTAGGCAGTATGCAGTACATACTGATTGAGTATATAGTAGGAAGTACGTTATTATGCAATTTCGAACACAGCCTTGGTCTTGTTGTATTATAGTGGAACATCATTATACCTGATGTTATTGTAACAACTGTATTGTGGTGGTCAAATAAGGTTAAGCAGCTGGAGTGAGTGGATATTTTTATTTACTGATCACATTAAAAGTAAAGTTGCATTGTAGGTACATATTTATAGACTCTGTTTATCTGTGCTCAACCGTCTGTGCTTTTGTACAGTTTTTGTGCACAAGCTGTGCCTGTCATGGTAACACTAGAGCAGTTTTTTTCTTCCTGTGTTACCCACAGTTTCACAACTGTTTTCCCATTGTTTATTGCCACCATCTGTTAGTGTTATGTCCTGCTGTCACATCTGTCCATGTAACACGAGTTTTATTTTAATCCCAACCTCGCCAGCTCTCTAAAGACATTTTTCCCTCTTGCCATGGTGTCAGTAGTGACTTTGCCCACATATATTTTGCTGGAAAAGAATCTTTTATTCCTGACTGCACCTGGCCTCATCAGCAAGGCCCCGAAACCCTCACTGCCTCTTATCACGTGCCATGGATGCAACACATTACATTAAAATATATGTATATGACAAGCATCCTTTTCAAGTCCTGTTTCCTTGATCCTGCAGTTGACATTAAAGACAGGTCTCACGCCCCTGCACAGAGGCAGCTCAAGCATCTTTGACCTCAGATCCAGTTTTTTTTGCCACTAAAACAGAGTTTCGTTGTCCTACTGAGAAGGTGGTTGTAATAGACTCCTTCACTCATAGCAGCCACATCGATAGCACCTGAAACCCAATTCGATTCCTTTGAATGAAGGTTTGTCCTCAGTCAGTGGGAAAATAGAAGAAGGCAAATGTGGGTCAGGGAAAGGATGGAAAAAAGCAATGTGTAAACAATGAACATAGTATTACTTAACCAGTATCGCCAAGTCTCTAAAGGTGATCTGTGAAGTATTTTGTGCTTATTCTATTACCTTATTGCTTATACTTTAACACAAATCAGTCAGGAGGGCTTGGAATTTCCCACAAAGGTTATTTTTTCCTGACATCTGTCTATTAACTGATGTCATGCTGCTAGGAAGACACATAAAGTAGTTTTCTGGACACAGAAATGTGTATTTTGTGACATCTGACCTCTTTCTGAGCTGCTTCCTGAGGTTCCACTTTTGTCTGTCTCGTTGACCTTCTTAGGTGCGTTTAGAGTTGCAGGGCTTTCTGTGGTCTCAGATAGGAACACTGTAGATGAAGACATTGTTGGTGTTTCACTTATCTCTGGCGTCATTGTGGTTGATGTGGTTGTTATGTTTGTCATGGTTGTTGTGTTGGTAGATTCTGTCTCATTCGTTAAACCCATATCTTTGTCTGATTTTGTTATGGATTCTTGAGTGGTATTGCTCTCAGCAGCCACGGTTGTCGTTGGTAAATCAGTGTGATTGAAGTAATCTGGAAAACTGGTGGAGTTTTCTACTCTCAGATGAGTTGTGAGGTTTTGAGGAGTTGTTGTTAAGTTCTGAAAATCCTCCTTGGCTTTTGTCATGTTGATCTGACTTGGGTCTATGGGATGTGTAGTAGTTGGAGAAAAGGTGGTGTCTGGCATTTCAGGTTTATTGGGAAGCATGGTGCTAGGATCATCAGATGTTTCATTTGCACCCTTATCTTGACTGGTTACATTCACATTTACTTCAGTATTTAGTGCCATGAAGCCAGATGTTACATTGTTGGGATCAAAACTTGACCCCATAGTAGATGCTTCATCTCCATAATCATTTTCTTTCTCCGCTGTAGTAGCTGCAGCATTTTGACTTCCAGCTGGTTTTTTGGCTAGTTCACGGAGCCAGCTTTTATCAATTGTTCGCCCCGGAGTGTCGGTTGAATCTTGGAGTGATGCCAGGTGGAAAGCTTGGACAAGCAGAAGGAGGAGGCCTGCTGTGATTTTTAAATACAGTTCCATATTCACCTTTGGTTTCACTCTGAAACACATGAGAGAACATAAAATGTTATTTTACTTCTTGAACTAATTATGCTTTATGGGTCAACTTTCAGTATGTTCAAATGTTTCAAATGTTCAAACATTACTCTGAGCTCTTTCAGACATCTTGTCCACATCCTCTTAAAAGTTGAGAATTAAAGTTGAAAGCTCAAGTTGGTCAAAACATCTGTTTCCAAAGTCAAAAATGAACTGTGAAGCTCACAAGAAATCATAAAAGTGCTCAAAATAACATTTGAAAAACAACAAATGAGCAAACTTCACCTGCTAATGAGGACTATGGACCTTTCAGAAACTAGACCCTCTCTATTTCCACTCAGTTACAGAGTGTACTCTGGTCGGTGTCACTCTCACAGCCAAATTATGTTCCCTAACCCACGTAGGGTGAAAATACAGCAGACAACTTTCACAGGATGTGGTGTTACCGCTGCACTATACAGCTGTATTAAGATTCAGGATTGATGATGAGGAAAAGTGTGTATTTTGCAACATCAAAACTGAAACCATTTGTCATTTATTTTATGAGTGTAAATGTACCAAAGATAAATTAAAAATATTTCTTTAAGATGTTGACTGGTTTAGCTATTAATTTATAAAATAAGAGACCACAAAGAAAACACAAAGAAACCAGAAATACAGCATATAAAAATAGAAATCAGTCGTTATATTGAAGCATTAATTGGTCTCCACAATAGTAAAGCATTTAAAACAGTTCAAATGTGAAAAGATTTAAATATGTTGTCAGTTTCATAATTATGTGAAATGTAATAGTTCCTCTTCAAAAGTCAAAATATACAGAGCGTTGGGGCTGGCTTTTTTTTTTTTTTTTCAAATGAAAACTAAAAGGCATAAAAGTGTTTATTTGTGATTTTTGTGGTTTGTTTTTTTCTCCTTTCTCCCAGTGACTGAGGAGTTTGTTTACTCCTTGCTCAGGAGGAGCACCATCAGGAAGGAGCCCAGGTGTTATAAACTTGTGTTCATCGCAGCCTTCAAACTGTCCCTGACCACACGCAAAGACTCGGTGTGCAACAAGACATCTCTGTTTGGTCCTATCTTCCAGAAGCACAAGATCACCTGCTTCACAACAGCGTAGGTCAGCTGCACTGACACAAGTCGTAATGAAAATCCTTGAACGACTAATCCTGTTACACCTCCTGTCTTTCAGGGAACCGCTCAGTTGATGGTGCTGTGAACATGGGCCACAACATCATGAACATGACATCCCTGGCTGCTACATTTAGGGAATTTCGACGCAGTCATGTGACACAGCGAGTTCCCACAGTACCTCGGCTTCACTCCAATACACAAATGACTGCAGCTCCAGTAATTCCCTACAGGGCTCTCCCACTGCGAATCACTTGATCAGTTGCTTTGTTATGAGCTGATTCTTGTTGTGAGCAGTGTAAATGTCTCTGTCTACAGTGTGTAATATTGTGGCCTGCAGCAACAGACGTTTGAACGTGCAAATCTGGAAATTTCACATTTCTATCATAACATTTTAGCCTATTTTAACAAGTCAATAAAGGTGCCACTAACTGAAAATGGGTTGTTCATTCGTCTTTAAAATACAAGTTGGGATTTCTGAAAAGGTACAAGCAACTTCTCATCCATTTCACACTTCCAAAGGATGAAACTGCTATTCTTAAATAAATATGAAAACATGTAATCATACTGATTGTAATTTTAATCTGTGGTTAGTTTTTTAACATTTCCACTCGTCCACTCATCAGCCATGATTTTGTGTTTTTTCTACTCTGTGGAAAACAGCCCAGCCTGCTGTGTGAACGCAGGCTTATTCAGACGGCTGAAGTGTTCTGATTACGCCACAACAAGAGCACATAATTAAAGAAAATGGCTCAATCCACCAAGTTTATAGCGATTTATAGCTTAAAATACTGCAGCTGTGAAAATATTATTTGGAATAAACTGACCAATTAATTTGCACTTTGAGATTAAAGTTTGCAACTGTGATATGGCAGAGCTCTCAAGTCAAAGGTTAGCTTTACGACTCACCTGCCAAGTTGTCACCAGGCAAAATAGAGAACATCTAATCACAGAGCAGAGACAGTAAAAAGAAAAAGAAATAAAAGAATCTACTGGTCATGACATAGACTTGTTGCATTGCTTAATTATCCAGAAGACCTTTGTGTTTCTAAGTTGCAGAACATTGAGAATTCTATAAATTATCCAAAGTAGGGTAGTTATGAAGGTCAGCGACAACACAGAGGTTAAATAGCTGGGATTCCCTGTCAGTCAATCAGGTTTGAAGAAGCGTCTTGGATGAGAGGCAACATCTCTTTGTGTATCTTTAACCAAGTCCAGTTGTCCTTGATTTTAATCCACCTTAAATAACTATGACCTGGATGACTGAGACCTTTCACAGAAATGTCTATAAATTACATGCATTTTTTACATTTACATTTTTAAGTGTGAATGTCACGACTACCATTACAGTGACTTTTCTATGCGGGATTATGAAATGAAGAATGTATCAGCTACTTCTCAGTAATACAACGTTAGGTTGGGGTTGTTGTGGTGGCCTAAGACATGTACCATTTAAAGTTAATAAAAGTGTATCAGGTGGAAATGAGACAAGTTCATGTAGAACCAGTTTGACAGGCAGGACAGCAGATGACAGCTAGTATGTTTTGATTTGTACTGTGTAAATATGTACATGGTGAGCAGGGACAAGATTTAAAATAACGCAGACTATAATCTGATTTTTCTCAAGAATGTTGCAAGTGACTTGTATTGAATTATATCTCCCAGAGACAAATGTAAAAAACACTATATCCTGCTTGTATTCAAATTTGGGCTATTGAATTTCAAACCAGTGAATCCTGTTTTGTCAACATATCTCTTCCGGTAAATGAAACACATTGGACCTATTTTTAGAAAGCACACTGCCCTCCCTGCCGAGAGTATTTGGCCACCAGCGTCCCACCAAAGAGTCTTCTTTGTGGCACAGTGGGTCAAAGATGTTCACTCCTAACCCTTTGCCCTTTGCAGAGAATTGCCTGTTGAAAAGATTTCCCACCTTGTTGATCTGGTCAGAATCTGTACTATCACCTCAACAGCGCTGTCCGCCATGACTTTACAGTGATCCACACACACACACACACACACACACACAGAAACACAAATACACACTGTAAACTCCTTCAACCCATGCACAAACACTAATTACTTGACATTTATGTTACACAATATGTTAAATCACACAATTTGTTTAAAGTTCACCTGTGTTATTATCACCTTTTAATTACTTCTAATAAATAAATAATTATTTGATTTATTATTTATGTCAATATCCATAATCCCAAGCACATCACTAAGTATTTACTCAAGTACCAAAGGCTACTCAAGTAAAATTCTGTGGTCCTGCCATTTGCTTTTTATACCTCTACTCCAATACTTTCCTTTTTTACTCAAGTAAAAGACCTAAGTACTTCATTTCCATCAGATCAACAGTCTCGTTTGCATCACTGTAAAACTGACTAACACTTGTGTAACTGTGTTGTATGTATTCCCCTGCTTAGGTTATTTAAGGTCCTACATGTATATCACTTGCTTTTGTGTGGGTTTGGCACCCAGCTATATACTTTCACATCGAAAAATATTTGAATTTCTGTTTCTGATACTCTGTTTCCTCTTTCACAAGAGGAAGCAAAAACAGTCAGGTATAGATTTACACATTTTAAGTGTAACTCATTCATGTTACTGCTGCAAAATCTTATTTGTAAAAGAAAGTACTGTCAAAGAAGTCTTGATGCTAAGACATTTCTCTTAAAAAGGACGTTATTTGTCATGTTTAGACAATAAAATTCATCCATTCATCATATAGCCCCACACATTTCCTGAAAAAAAGACAAAGAATTACATGCTTCCTCAGTAAATCCTTACCTTGTTCTTAGGCTGTATCGGATGAGAACAGGTGCACAGGCAACAAAATCTCTTCACTGAGCTGCCAACATGAGAGTGAATCAGCAAACGGCCCAGAGAGAGAAGCAGGGAAGGAGGGCCCAACAGAGTGGCATTCAGGGAACAACCTGCTCAACCTGCTTCTACACCTGCCAGCAATAGCAACACACCCTGAACTGCATCCAGTAGCACACTGTGAAAAGGCCACACAGGACAGGGATGGGATTGAATTAGAGGACAAGAGAAGGGGAAGAGGGTTGAGGGGTTTGGGGAATGAGTCAATTTGTAACTGCCTCATTTCATGTTCCCATCTAAATAAGTTAATTACATAAAATTTTGGTTGCCGGGTTGCCAGGTTAGTTCTGTGAATTCCCCCAGTGGGTGGGGCCTCTGGCCACAGGTCCTCTGAGCGTTTTTCTTTTGTTTTGTTTTGTTTTTTTCCTCACAGAGGCACTGGAAACGGCTGCTGTCGTCATGGCAACGGAAAGGAGGCCGGCGAGCTCGGGTTTCATCCGCGCCTTTGTCTCTGGTCTATATCAGGCTACCGAGTGACGTGTGACTTTGTGAACTCACAGGTACTGTGCGTCAAATGAGCTGGGATTGTTTTAGTCTCATTCCTCAGTTAACTGAGTCGTGCAGCGGCTGAATTCACAAGTGAGGGGGATGAAGTGGCACTAATAGCTGGTGTGCTTTGGTGAGTCAAGAACAAAGGACTGGTTGTACTTGTTTTGTTCATGAATCTGAAAATTACTATTAATGACTTAGTCCCTGAAGTTACCCTCAACATACCTGCAGCAGATGTGAGCAACTGATAACATTAATGAGTGCTTTATTACATTGTAGTGTACCAGTATTGCCGCAATACCAGGACCTTGAAACTGAAGCAGCTAAATGGAATTCAGTCATCATTAATTTTACTATGTAGATTTGTGCTTTTGACATTTCAAAATATCCTCCATGAAAAAGGCCTATTGTTTACACACCATACATAACACACACACTTATAATATAATATTTGAAATGCCTCGGTGTGATGAGATATTTTATTAATGCTTTACACTAATATAAGAATGTATATGTAGATGTATATTATACATTAATGTATATTATAATTTATTTATAATTTTATAAAAGAATGTTAGTCTGTATTTCAATTGGGCTTTTACTTTTACTTTGGCTACCAACACACTACACATCTACACACTACACATCTCTCTCCCCCTTATTTTGTAAAAAAACGTTTTTTTATTGCATTTTGTGAATTAAATGTTCAGACTAATAAATACTGACTGGTAACTATCTGTCATTTCTAATATGAAGGTAAAAAGCTATTTTCAAAGCCTTCTAATCACTTTCAGGAATGAAATTCTGGGGAGGAATGCCAAACCCTTTCTTTATTTATGTTTTTATTATTTTACTGGCCTAACTGTTTAAATTTACATATAGTCAAAAACATTGCAGTCAGCTCATAACATACCCACCATGTGCAAGTTTTTATTTGTAGAATGCAACCCCCCCACAGTTTCCTTGCTAATACCAAGCAGGGTGGCTTAGAAAAGAACAGTATGACCTCAGTGCGGTCAATGGTATACAGTCATGACATCAGAACTACTTTGAGTAAACAAACATTCACTTTCTAATCATAACCAAATGCCGTTTATTCAAAACAGTTCAATGAAGGTATCATTAGTTGGAGGTCAGCTGTTGATGTTCCACCATAAATGAGGTTTAACAGTGGCTTACTGTCCCAAGCACACAGACAGCTTGTTGCTGGCACCTCCACGTAGCCTGCCACTGTTTGAAGCTAATGAGATCATGTAGCCTCATCAGGGACGTGAATAATAGAAATGTCTAAATCTTGAAAAGAGGATAAACAGGCTTCAGATTTCAGCACAAAACAAAAGTGTACAAAATCCATGAAAAAATAAAAAGGAGGGGCACTTTGAAACCTGGTTAATACATTATGAAGAGCTTCATAACAGCAACTCTGCACATTCATGATCCAGAAAACATCAGGGTGTTACAAACGACACTGTCTCAGTACCGAGCTGCCAAATATTTGAAATGCAGTTAGACTTAGCAGAAGTTAAAGAGTATACAGTATTTGCAAGCAGAGAGAAGCAACACATAGACTGCACTACACCAATTTCCATCAAGGTTGTCCAATTTTTGTACTAAAAGGGGTTTTAATATTGTACCACATGCAGCCCATAGACTTTATTGTTTGTGCCATTTCTTGGTTACAGCTCCCAACTTTTGGTAGCTATAACCAGCTAAAGTTGAAAAAAATAAATAAATAAAAGGAGGGGGGAGTAAAATAAATGGCATTACAAACAGCTCAACAGCTCTTATTGTTGCAGAAGTTCTGTAGCTAACCTATCAGTGTAAGGATGCATGATTATTCTTTACAAACAATCACCAAACCTGCTGATTTTTGCTTTGTTGGTCTCAAATCAGTTTTATCAACATGAATTAAAACACACCAGTTCACTCAACTATGTAATATATATATATTTATATACTGTATATATTTGCATATTTTCATATTAGAGATTCTGCCAAAAGTTGCAGCTTCTTATAATATGTCCTTGGAGTAATGCAGTAGCTTTATCCTTGAAAAAACATAAACAAATTTGATTTGATTGTGATCCATCCTATTAATGATGACATCTGCATGCAAATACATTTTTTCAAAAGCAAACAAAAAGCTTTGATCTATCTATTACTGACCACAGTCCCTTTGTTTTCCCAAAGGATGGTGTGTTTTCTCAGATGAAGGAAAGGAAGCAATGAGGTTCCTTTTCTCCATTTGGAGAATTTAACCAGCTCTTATCTTGACTGCCTCATACTGTAGAAAAATAGGTAAAGACTCATCAAATACATCCATAGTAGAGTGAATAATGAGGATAGAGACAGGATTTCCCTTTTGTTTAAAGACATCTAATTTATTCATTTGTATGTGTTGCTCATTCATGCACATGAGCTCCTAACATTGAATACAGAAATCACTCATTCATTCATGCTCACAGGGTTTTGAATAAATTCTATTTTATGTTGAAAAGCAAAATACGGGTTGCATTGTCACATGTGCTACATAGCTCATATTTCTGAGAACAGAATCAAACAGATAAATTACGGTATAGTATTCTGACAATCCAGATTCCAGAAAATCACAATGTGGAAAATGTAACACATTGCTGCTGCAGTTCCCTCTAAGATATTTTTATCACTTAAATATATCTCCCAGACACAGTGAATATCTAGTCTGATATAACTGATAACTGATCCATCAAAAGCTTTGCAGAGAGAACCAAAGTAAAAGCTTGAAAATCAGCAAAATATGTGGTTTTCTTTTAACAACAGTAATATGCTCAGTTTGAGAATTCAAGAAATATAATTTCTCAATGTATGATTAATAATTTAGTAACATAAAGATATGCTCACTCGGGTATCTTGTGAAATATTATCCGGAGCAATATGTGTTAATATGTGGACATGGACGAGCTTTTTCAGAGATCTAAGGCTGCTCTGGCTTTAAAGCCAATTTGGGAAATGGCTGCGAGAGGCAACATGTAACAGCAAAAATGGCATAATGGGTGTACACTTATGTGAATGTTGTGAAGCGTCGTTTTAGCTATTATTGTGTTTATGGTTAATTTGCTCTGAATAGAAGAAAACAGACAGACAGATGTTTGTGTATATTTAAAAATAGAAATGTGTTTAAAGATATTTTCATGAAACAAGATGTTTTTATGCTGTTACAGCCTGTTTACAGCTGTTCTAATTTACTTTTCAATTTTACAATGATGATTTTGAATTAAAGTTCAATGTGAAGAATTGAAATGATTTTCTTTCTTCCAGTAAGTTCTCCAAAGTAAAGCTCTCTCATGCTCCGGATAAACATTAGATTTGATGAGTGTTTTCCCTGTATGCTAAAGATTCTGTGGCTCAGTCTGAATAGAAACACTGCAAATCTTTGGAGAGGCATAATGAAAAACTCAAACTGCGCTTGTTCTCGTTTATTTCCTCCGTTGATCATAAAAAAGTGTGTAATTTCTACCAAGTCAAATCCTGTGTGGTTTTAATGGTTTTTGAGTCAGAGTCAGTGAAAATGAAATTTTGCAGTAAATTGCCTCTAGAAGAAACATTCATCTGAGATAAAAACATGTAATCACACTCAAGGTGTCCTCTCTTTCACAACATGCTTGTGACATTTGAATAACAGCTGCCTGGCACATCCCTGCATACTGAATCAGTCGGCTTTTAGGAGGTGTTCAGTACAGCAACAGTGTGTCAATTTAGATTTAAAAACAAAAAGAAAGTCCTTACAGTTTTAACAAAAGAACATGACTTGCTGTAAAGCTATTTTTCCGACAGAGCCAGGTTGTAAAGCCGTGTGCTTTGAGCTTTCTCTCTGGGCTTGATTACAGTTTATGTCCCACTGTTCCGTTACTGTGAGCTCACAAAAAGCATTAATGATACCCTCCTAAAACCCACAAAGAGCATGTGATATGTGTGTCTGTGTGTGTGGATTTATTTGTCCAGGTCTGGGAGGATACTTTACTGTCAGAGTTGAATTATCTTCTTCAGGTTCGTGTCTGGCAGAAACCACTGGGACCAAGACAGAAAGAGAGGAAGCTGTATGACTCTACCTTGATATCTTTTAGGTTTAACCTTTTGATACTCGTTGTACACAATCGAACGTTTCCTATCTTTATTTCACTGGTTAGCATTTCATCCTACCTTATCCTCTTTCCATACAGATTTCCCTTTCGTACCTTTAAGTAGTTTCAAGGTTGTTAAAATGATCCTATTTGTTATATATCCTGCATCATCCTGTTTATTGAACCTATATAGTTTTACACAGAGTGATATATTCAAACTCAGGACTCCATGTTTTTTATGGCTGCGCTATTCCATAAGACAGAAATATTAAAGGTGTCTTGTATAAACATAATTTTATGCACATTTTCCCAAACTCGGTTGGGATCTTCACAGTAAAGTTTTATGGGTATGAACAGTGTTTGGTTGCATACAAAAATATTGCTTTCAGGGACAGTCCCAGTATTATATGTAGCATCACTATTTGGAATCATTTAGACAGGTCTACATGGGAACAAAGTAGTCTTCAGGCTTTCA